GGGTGCCGTGGCTGCTGCCGCGTACCACGATGGCCTTGACTTGGGCCCTCGAACTCGCGCTCCGTGACACTCTCCCCCACCAAAGCCCTTGACGCCCTCGTCAAGGCCGCTCGTGTTGAGTGCCTCGATCCCCTTTGCGAGTTGCCGCAAGTCTGTGCCGCGTGCCCACCTCGCTTCCGCTGCAAGTCGTGTGCAGAGTGTGCCGTGCCCCTAGCCTTCCCGCTCTTGGACTCCACTGTCTGGCCGTGTTCCCGCTCACTGCCCCCTGACACCTCCATGGCTGCAAGGACTGTCTGCTCCGTTGGTAGCCGCTCTAGTGGCACCTCGTAGCGAACACCCCTGTCCTCAAAGAGTATGCGCCCGTCCCTCGTGAAAGTGAAAGGCAGCATCCGACTGATGAAGTCACGACCCAGCACCATCTTGAAGTCCTTCATGGGCACGACATGTAGGTCGATCTCCCCCGACCATGAGCCTATCTGCACTGGCACCCCTCGTGCCACGCCATGGATGGGCTGTGAAGGTTGATCGACGACCTTGACCCAACCACGCTCCTTGGTGCACGGCAGACCCAACTTCTCCCCTGAGCTGACCGCGATCAAGCTCTGGTCTGCGCCACTATCCAGTAGGGCTGGGATGCTTTCCCCCTTGATCTCGACGGCTATGTATTTGTAGGTCTTGCCGAGGCTCATTTCTACTGCTCCATTGGCCTTGGCGTCGCCCCCGCTCGCCTTCTGGGCCAATATGGAGTTGAAAACCGTCATGGCTCCCAAGCGCAACTCCTTGGCTTGGGGCTCCTCCCCGAGGGCTGAGATGATGGCGTTGAGCTTGTTCCGCTGTGGGCACTCCCTTGCCCAGTGTGGCCCTCCACACAAGTAGCAGTCCCGCTTTGCCTTGGGCTGCTCCTTACCGCCATTGGAACGCTCCCCCGTGCCATCATCTGCCTTCCCCTTACCCTTAAGGGGTTTGGATGGCTTCTGCGGTGCATCCTCCTCGTGCTCGCTCTCGCTACCCTCCTTGTCTCGACCCCTGTACTTGCTCCTGGCCTTCCTTGGAGGTTCTTTGCTGAACTCGATCAAGGACTCCGCGGCTGCTATGGCTGAAGCAAGGTCCTGGACGCCCCGTCGCTTCAATTCTTGCTCAGCCCACTGTTGCAACCCGTCCATGAAGTAGAGTAGCCGACTCCTCTCGGGCATATCAGGGATCTCGAGCATCAAAGAGTTGTATTCCCGAATATACTCCGTGATCGTCCCTCTATGCTTCAGCACCCGGAGCCTCTTCATCGCAACCTCCTCAGCATTCTCGGGGTAGAACTGCTTGCGGAACTCCCCCTTAAACGCCTCCCAGGTGTTGATGTTGCAAATGCCTCGTTGCATCTCGCTGTGTCGGCGTCTCCACCAGAGTGTGGCATCGTGCTCGAAGTACATGGTCGCCATGTGGATCTTTGCAGCTTCATCCCCCACGTTCATGGCGTCAAAGTACCTCTCCACCATCCACAGAAAGTTATCGAGTTCCTTGGCATCCCGCTTCCCTCCATACTTAGGTGGCTCGGGCACTTTGAGCTTCGGCCCAACGCTGGCCGCACCACCAACCGCAACGCCAGCGGCCATGGCTGCCTTGCACAAGGCGAGGTCCCCCTTGACCTCATTAAGCTCCGCCTTCAGCGCGCTCGCCTCTGCCGCGATGGTCCCTCGCACCTCATCCATAGCTTTGTTTATATCAGCCATAAAAGAGTTAAGGGCACCTTGGAGCTTACCTCGGAGGTCTTCGACATCGCCGCACCGCTCCTCTTGCTCCTCCATCCGAGAGTCAAGAGTGTCAAGCTGCTCGCGGACGTCCCCCATAGCCAACTCCATCTTGGCCAGCCTTCCCTCAAAGGCTGTCATGACGTCCTTTGACGCTGGTGACACTGCCCTCGATCTCCTCTGGAACGTCACTTGCCTCCACGCCACTACTCGCCATGGTTACGATTTCCCGCTCGCAACTAGGCTTTCACCAGGCTCGCACCACGTTCACACCACGTTTGGACCGCGTCTCGTGCCACGCTCGAACCACGTCTCGTGCCACGGCTCGAACCACGCTCGAACCACGCTCGAACCATGTCTGCAGCAGGCTTCCAACCGCCCTCTGGTGCAGCTCCGAACCAGGCTCTGAAGTAGCTTTGAGCTGGCTCTGATACCACTTGTCACGGGACGAGACTCTAGCTAGTCACCGTGCGGCACTTAGCTCGGAATTAACCCCGTTAAACCCGAACCAAGTCAGCCTTCCC